GCTGGGACGTTTGTACTAAAATAAGCGTATGGACATTGATTGTTTTAAAAAATACAGGAAAATGTATAGTGGAGTCATCTCAGGAGAAGAGGTGCCTTGGCTCCTCCGAAGGGGCAATAGAGCCTCCAGTAGGAGATTGTCATAGTTGTGTGGGCATACGTCCTCGTGCCCAGGGTAGCTGGAAGTGGAGAAAGACGTTAGGTAGGACCATGCACTTGGTCATCCCTGTATGCCTGGGTCCCTGGTGTTGCAGCCAAACCAGGGCCCAGGAAGGGGTGGCCCCTCAAAAGGAGATCTGAAGATCTTGACAAGACTGAAAATCCAATTTGGAGGGATAGGTGGGAAGCAAAATGCCTACTTTCAGACTGAGTTTTAACAGCATGTCTACTAGTCCCATGAACACTGAAGGTCTCCATACGTCCCCGTGGGGTCTAGCCATGAGAAAGACCTCCATGCCTGCATCAACCGTGGGACAGCAAACCTAGGAATGCAGTCAGATTCCATGAGCCCCTGCCAATCCTTCCCCCCATCTACTTGGTACTAAGAGGACTGGACTTGTCCCCCTGTGTGACAAAGAGCTTGGTGTTCACCTCAGCCCTGGCTATTTCAGAGGGTTATCATTAGATCAGCTCCCAGTAGGGAGACAGTAGCCAAACTCAATCTTCATTCCCTGGGACCCTGAGGAAGCACATACCTGACACTCGGGGCTGGTTCCTGAACTCTTCTGCCCCTTTTGGGGGAAGAGCCACAAACAACGCAATCTGCCTGGGAAACCCTCTCAAACTCACACTACACCTTGGAACTGAATGAAGGGAGCTTGGGGCTTTGACAGGTTACTAGCGACTCCACTGGAAGGAGCTAGCAGCAGCAGGCCATGGGTGCGCACAGGCTGGCCCACGTGGGCCGTGCAACAAGTGCCACATTAACCAGATGTCGGTGGCCGATAGTCCGTGCACTACAACCAGCTCACGGTAAAAGCAGGGATCGAAGGTGCGCAGGTGTGGTGCTGCGGAAGGCTGGGGTATGCCAAAGGTGCGGAAAGCAGGGTGAGGCTCAGGTGTGAGCCGCAGGCGCTGCAGACACATGCCCAGAAAGACGTCGTCTATGGGGAAGAGCTCAACCTGTGCGCAGGCGCCAGCCAAGCGGCGCAGCGTGGCCCCAGAAAACACGAAGCCGCCGCCACCAGCGTAGGCCGGGTAGGCGGGCAGGCCATACACAGCTTCGGGAATGTAGTACTTGCTGGCTCGTAACCGTATGGGCCGAGCCTGTACAATCACGTCACCCGCAAGCAGGTCCTGTGCCGGATCTCGCGCTGCCAGAAAGTCCAGCAGGTTTTCCACGTGCACGAACACATCGGCGTCACCCTTAAAAACGAAGCGCGCGTCTGGGCAGTAGGCTGAGGCCCAGGCCAGAAAGTGGATCTCCTTGAGCGTTAGGTTGAAGAAAGTGTCTTCGAAGGCCCAGAGCAGAATGTCTGCGTAGGCGCGACTCTCAGCACGCAGTAGGGCGTGCCAGTGAGTTTGCGTGCCTGCCCCCTCCGCTTCTGCTTGGTCTGAGCCTGCGCCCCTGGGCAAGCCCAGCAAGAACACGCGGCGCACGAGCGCCCCCTGCACGCGCCCTTCAGCCCCCCATGTCTGGCGCACAGCTTGGCGTCGCTCAAAGTCCGCCGCCACTGATTTGACTGCAATGAGCAGGTCGGGTCCCGCGCCAAATACGCCATCGCGTCGGCACTTGTGTGGCTGGTTAATGAGCAGGGGGAAGTGTCGCTGGTCCTTAGCACGTAGGTATCGACCAAAGTCAAAGGGTCCCGGGGGCGTGGGCTTGGGCGGCTCCGGTGTATCCTCTTCATAGGCCTGCAGGGCTGGGCCCGCGTCAGGTCCCTGGAATACACGGAGCCGGGGGCTGGGCCCCGGCGCTGCCCGGTCTTGAGCTCGTGGTGCACTAGTTGTAGGGGCTGTGCTATCACGCTGTGCATAGAGCAAGAGGCCAAGGGCGGCGCCCAGGAGCAGCGTGATCCACGCGTCCCCTCTTAGGCGCAATCTCCGCCTCATGTTTGCGTGTCCGGCGCCTGCGCCCCCTGCGGAGAGATTCTGTCAGGCCTCTGGGCTCCGCCCTCCATGAAGGTAGGGGGCAGGAGACCACCCGCTGGGGGTCTCCAACTATCGGTGGTACTTTCCCCTCCGGTGTCCTACTCAGGGGTCTCTGTCACCCCTCCCCCCATCGGGATGAGTACAATGAAAGGGCAAGAAGTCTTCTAAGCTGCCAACGCCCACCCCCTCAGCTTTGGCCCAGGACTGTGTTCCAAGGCCGGGGCAGGGAGATGCCAAGCCTCAACCCCACTCCCCGCCCGCCTTCCCAGCGCTGATCAGGGCTGAAAACCTTCTACTCCTCTCTACCCACCACCTCGATCCTAGGGATCCCAACACTCACACGATCAGCCCTTGGGAGCGGCGCGGCCCCGGACGCCAGGACCTCCGGGGCTTAGCGCAGGGTCCCAAGGGCGGCCATGGACCGGCCTGGGCCAAATGCAGCGTTGGCAGGAAGGGGGACTGGGGCCGCTGCCACGTGACCCTCCAGCTGTGCGCGCCCGGACAGCTGGAGCTCAGCTCCACCCCTGCGCCGTGTGCTGTCTCCGAATGGGAACTAACCTCTGAGAGGGATCCTAACGGGCAACTCTTTCTAGGAATGCCTGGAGAGGTGGGTTCTGGTCTCAAACTCTCCAAATCCCCTTTTCTAGGAGCAGGAAAAAGTAGCCTCTCTGTTAATTGCACCAACACCCCCTCCTCCCGCCCCAACCCCTACCGGATTCTCTGGGAGGGGGCAGGGCCTGAGCTGGCAGGAGAGGGATGGGGGCAAAGGGCAGTCTGGTCCCAAATCACTGGGCCCAGTTCCTAGTCATCAACCTGGCCATTATCCTAGTGCATTTTTGGAAGTGTCTTTCATCAGCTCAGGAGGAACCCTGGGTCCAGTAGTCAGGGCCCATGTACTGCCCCTGGGACACATGGCGGCATCCATACTCCTGGTTCTGCCACGACCCCTAGCAGACACACACGTGCCAACAAGCAGCTCATTTTATTCCCGTGACAACCCTAACAGTAGTTCTTATTGTTCATGCCCAGATGGGGACACTGCCGCTCAGGGAGCTAAATGACTTGCCCAGGATCATACAAGCACAAGCTGAGAGCACTGCCCCAGATCTTTTGGAGTTCAATCCAGGATTCTTTCCTCTGTTGTCTCTTGCTGCTCTCCCCATCCATCCACTGGAACACAGGATGGGGCCAGCCCTGTGTTTTCTCACCTGCTAATTTCATAGGTGAGCACTTCAGTCTGTCTCTCCAGAGGCAGTTCTGAGTCCCCTGGTCCCCAGCACCCCAGGCCAGCATAGCCTCCTGTAGGTAGAAATAACCAAGCCTGGGTGACTACGGGCCAGACTGGGGAACTCCTGAAGTAGACCAGTGAGCAAAGGGTTTGTTCTGGGACCCAGGTGGGCAGAGAGGAACTGTGGAGACCGAGGGCCCAGTCTTTGCCTCGCTCTGCTGCCAACTCCCTCTTCCTGGAACTCAGAGCCTCCTGGTTTCAACCCATGCAGTGGAGCCTGGAGTAGACACCACCCCCACCCATCCTGCCCCAGAGTTTGAGGACAGGCTGTGGGAACTGGCACTGCTACCCAATGCCATCCTCTTTCCAATGGCTGTGCCTGCGCCTCCTGACAACTTCCCACCAATGTTAGCCCTCCTGCCTCCTGAGCCTCACTCTCCTGTTCACAGACCCCTCCGGAGTCTGCTATTCTGGTTTTCTTTACTGCCTTACCTCCCACTCCTCCTTTGGTCTGGCTTCCGGCTGTACCCACTATGTCCCAGAAATACCCTCCACCTAGTAGCCTTCTACCTGAGTCCAGCAAACACTCCTTGGCCTTGACCAATCTGCAGTCTCTGTCACTGCAGGTGGGTATTCCCCGGGCTTCCAAATCTCCTGGTGGTCCTCCTTCCTCTTTGGTCTGCTCCTTTTCCAATTAGTGTCCTTCAGGACTTCCCCCTGGGCCACCCGACCCACTCCACCTACCCATTTGTGAATCTTTAGCTTCAACCCTCTGCTGAACTCAAAACTATAGACCCAGCTGTCTTCAGACTCTCCCTGGATGTTCTACGGGAACATCATGCCCAACTTGTTCTGGACAGAGGGAGCACTTTACCTCCTCCAGGCCAGCATCTCAGCAGGAAGTCTCGCCTTTCATCCAACTGGCAAAAGGCAGAAACTCTGGGGCTCTCTCTCACCTAACTCCTTATCCAGTGTCACCAGGCCTGTTATCCTTGGTCTGAAAGAGCCCTTGGTGTCCAGCCCTTTCCTTCATCTCTTCTGCACCTGCCCCAGCCTGGGCCTCAGTCCTCTCTCTCTCTCTCCCCCCCTCTCTCTGCATCCTCACCAGCCGCCCCTGACTGCCCCCCCCCCGCCACAGCCTCCATTCCTGAAACCCTTTAAAGGCTTCTCACTGGTCTCAGGATAAAATTCAAACTCTGTAAAGTGGCTGACCAGACCCCATGCTGTCTCCCTCCCCTACTCACCAACTGGTCTCTGCAAATCCACCCACCCCCACACCCAGCCACTCAAACTTTCTATTCTTCTAATATCCCTTCCTCTCACCTCCCTCAAGACTTCACCTGAGACTGGCTATGCCCAGGACACTGCTCTTTTCTCAGCCCTACCACCACCACCCTCCCCTGTTCACACTCATACCTCTCCCAGGAAGCCTAACCCCTAACCTGGGCTAGGCCCCTCCTTAGTGCTCCCATAATTCCTTGTATTTTTCATATCAAGAAACAGGTAACATGCTCTGGCAGGTAGTTCAGTTGATCAGAGCATCATCCCCATACAACAAAGTTGCAGATTCAAACCCTAGACAGGGTACATGCAAGAATCAATTAATGCATCAATAAATGGAACAACAAATTGACGTTTCTCTTTCTTCCTCCCCCTCTCTCTCTAAAATCAATAAATAAAAATAAAGAGGTAATGTTTTATTGCTGTTGCTTAATATTCAGAGTCCCACATTGAGTGTGAACTGGGGGCAGGCAGGATTTGTTTATCTTGCTCATCACAGTATTTGCAGTACCCAGGATGAAGCCTAAAATACAGGAGGTGCCTGCTGAGTGTTCAATGGGAGAAGAGGTAAGGGCTGGCTGGAAGCCCCTCTTCTGGGGTGGGTGAGGTGAGGCCGACCTCTGCAGGTCACCCGTGTTCTGTCTCTATGGTAGTTTCTGGGGCAGGACCCCCAGTGGCACTTCAGCAGGCATGGTGGGTGCTTGTCTGACTCCTTGAGAAAACAGTCAACTCTGCCCAGCAGCTCGACTAAGTAGGGTTGTAAGTCCTGTGGATGGACAGGTCAGCAATAGCAGCAGAAGGGATCTTAGGGTCATCGAGGTGCTCCAAACTCTGGCTGGGCAACCAGCTGACCACCCTTTTGTCTGGTACCCAGCCTAGGCCAGGCTGCCATCTGGATTGGTCAGGCCAAGCAAGTCCTCTGCCAGGCTGGTGAGCTCGTTCTCCTCCAGCGCCTCCACCAGGCGCTGCAGTGTGGCTCGGCGGCCCTCGGCCTGAATGAAACGTCGGAGCAGCTGGAAGGCCTGCTCATACAGCCCCTCGCGCTCATATTCATAGGCCAGGGAGTCGAGGACAGGGTCCCGTAGTGCGCGACAGCTTCGCTGCAGGGAGCGCCCAACCTTGCGCCATTTGAGGCCCACTGAACGTGCAAAAGTCTGTTGGTCCTGCAGGCTTAATGGTCGGTTCACTGCAATGGAGTGGGAAGCAGAGTGAGCTTGGGGGCGGGGGTGGGGTGCAGACCAATACCCTTGCATTCCCGCCAATTTCCCAGAACACACTGCCTTTGCATCTCCAAGCACGCCTCACCTATGGGCTGACCCTGGAACAGAAAAGTCTGGCCAGATGGCGGTGGTGACGGCTTCTCCACCGATGGAGAGGAAGCCAGGGACTGCAAAGGGACTGGAGCTACCTCCACGTTGCTACTTTGGCCTCCAGAGCCGCATGTCAGATTCTGGAGCGCATCCTCCAACTCAGCAAGTTCCTCATCCCGGAGCCTGTCAGGCTAGGGAGGAGGGTGCAATGTCAGTGGGGGGCTTAGCCTCGGAACCCTGCCCCATCCGTCACTGTCCCCAGCCCTACCGCACCTTCTGGGCAAAGATGCAACTCAAACAACGCTCCTCATCTGTCATCAAGGCGTCCAGCAGCTCTCCGCCGGCACGTAGCTCCAGTTGCAAAGGCAAGGAGCGCAGGGTCAGCGCCCCAGCCAAGCAGCCCTCCAGCGTGGTGCGCAGCGCCCCCTCGCGGTAGGCTTGGAGGAAGCGGGCGCAGGGCTGGCGTCCGCAGAATCGCAGCTGCACTATCAGCTGCTGGTCGCTGCGGTGGATCTTGAGCATCTGCAACACCTCTGGGCTCCCGCTCTCTGCGGGGGCAGGCAATCAGGCGCCTGGCGGTCGCCATGCCAGGCCGTCCTCCAAGCCGTTAGAGGAGGGGTGAAGCCTGCAGTCAGTCTCCCTCCCTACTCCCAGACCTAGGGGGCGCGCGTGGTAACCCCAGAGCTCCCAACCGGAAAATGAAACTGGGATACCAGAATGAAGACCAGGGCTTATCACGGGGAGTGGGTGACATCCTAGCCCCATCCCTGGGGCCCCAAATTAAGGTAGGCAAAAGGGACATGGAAAGAAGATTTGCAGCGAATACCCTGGGCAGCCAAGCTATTTGGGTAGGCGGCCAACCGGGCAGGAAAGGGTCAGGAGGTCTCAGATCTTCAGCCTCCACCAAGTGGGGCTCCAGATGCCCCTGAAGCAGAGGGGCTCACTGGTCTGGGGCCAGAGTGGGATCCCCCAAATGGCTTCAATCCCCTGTCACCTTTGCCCTGACATGGGAAAGGGGCACCCGGGAGGTAGTTTCTGGGAGGGGGTCTTGGACAAAGAATGCTGCAGTGAGAGAGGAAAAGAGAAGAGAGATGTGTGATTAGTAGAAGAAAGCAGTGAGCTGGCTGGACTGGGGGGTAGCAGACATCAAGCAGGGGGATATTAGTGCACACATAGGTAGATCGTACACAGGCAGGAGGGCACATGAGTAATAAGGAAGACAGCCTAAGCAACCCGTCCACCTCCTCTCCTTCCCATCAAATCCTTTCCCTAACACAGTGGTTAAGCACATGTCCACAGAGCTGAAGAGGGGGTGGTCTCAGCCCTTGGTCCCACCCACAAAAGGCCCAGGCCACCCCTTTCTCTCCAAGTGACCCAACCACACACCTGCCAATCCAGTCCGCAGAGCCCTGTACACTGCCACCTTCTGCTGGGGGTGACTGTAGACATCTGATAGGACCACCTTGTCCAGCGAGGACTCCACAAACAGGTATGCACTGCCCACCCACTCCTGGAGCCCATTTGTCCCAGCTGCCATCTTGTGTCCTGGAGGTGCAGACAAGCATCCAGATCAACCCCAACCCAGCCCCGGAGACAACTGTCCAGTGTCACGTGGCCTAGCTGTCCTCACCCAGTTGGCACACTTGTGAGGGGAAGTTCATCATCCCACAGGCAGCCCCATGTGTGTCTGGCTCTGCACAGCGCAGCCCAGCTCAGCCCAAACTTACAGTGAGGGCTCTCCCTCCACTGTTGTCTCAGAGAAAGAGCCCAGGGTCACAGTGGCAAGAGAGGAGAGGCACTATCCTGCGGTGAAGGCAGAGAAGTCATGTCCCCCTCCTCAGGCCAAGTCGTCTGTCTTACCAAAGCTGACAGAAGACATCATCTTCCTGGACGATGCACATACCCCACAGCCAAACGAACACACCTGCCACATACCCACATCCTGGTATGCCCTTAGCTTACACTTGAACCCTCAGGATCCCTTAGGACCACAGTTCCCCTGTCCCACCACAACAGTTTTCTCATTTGCATTCCTACTAGACATTCTGACTTCACTTCAAAGGATACCTGTAGTTGGTGCCTGCCCAGATTCTTTTCCCTGATCTTGACTGACCTGGGGGGCCTTCTTCTCTCTTCCCTCTTCTCAGTCCATGTGCCTGTTGGGAGGGTTAGCCCCACTCCCTAGCTCCAGGTGTGGGCATGTGAAACAGGTCTGGCCAATCTGCATATTCCATTCACCTTTCTAAAATGATTAGTTTTAGAGTTGGGTAGATTCAAGTTGGAACAAGCAACCTACAACTTTGGCTGAACCAGCAGGGAAGAAGCACTGGTTTCCCTTCCCTTGGGGCGGAGCTGGAAGGAAGGGGAGGTCTCCCTCCTTTGCCACAGCTTGGGAAGAGAGCCTGACTGACACGGAAACTGACACAGAAGGAAACAGAGCCCAGACACAGGGAGGTGCACTCCTAACCAGCTATGTCCCTTGCTCTAGCTGCACGCTGGACTTTTCAGTTATGTGAGCTAAATCATGCCTTTTTGATTCAGCTCTAAATTTAAATTCCTTTTTGATGTATTTCTAAAGTATAAATACTTGGAGCTGGGCTCTTGTCTTCTGTAACTCAAATTGTTCTAGTACAGATTCCTTCCCAGTTCAGAGACAGCCAGGGCCCCTTGGTTCTAGTATCTCCTCCATCCACTAAGAAAATCCTAGCTCTAGACCTGGGGGCGGGGTGGGGGCAGGTGGAATTCCCAGCCAGGGAGCCTCTGTGCTGATCTTCATTTCAGTGGCTTACCAGTTACTGCTCCAGGAGGCCTGCCTCTGCCTCCCCACCTCACCTCAGGCAACGTCCCACACTTACCCTACAAACATGGTCTCAAGACCCCGCCTCCCACCCCATCAGCCATACTTCTTTATTCTCTCTTCTCTGGCACTTATATATGGTGGGCTAGGAGCACTGCTGAGCCCCAGTGGTGAGCACCCTGGATGGACTCATTGCTCTGGGCAGACAGATGGGGTGGCCCCCAGTTGGCATCCATTTATTTACATGAGGGACAAGGAACCTCAGAAGAGGGATACTGGGAGGAGCCAGGACGAGCCAGGACCACAGCGTTGGACACTGTTGGGGAGGCTGCATTTCAGATCTGCCCCAGACCTTAACCAAAGAGTCAAGGCAGGGACAGTAACTGGGCAGGGGCCATGCAGCGTCGCCCAGACCTGGCAAGAAAAAAAATGCTGGGTGATGGTCCTACCCTGGGTCTGAGGACAGAGGACAAGCCCTTTGAGCCTCCCTCCCCTGCGCCAATATCCTGTTGGTAGAAAACATATTAATACTTGTGTATTTACCCAAAACAATGGTCTGTGGGGGTGGGAGATTTGGAGGATTTTAATTTTCATTGTATTTAGCAATATTCTACTTCATGTAAAATAGATACATTTCCTTTGTGTTAAAAAGGCGAAATATTTTTTTTAGAAAGCAAAAAAATGAAATAAAGAAACAAAAACGGGGTGAGACCCTGTAGACGACAAAGGAGGCCAGGTAGGAAGACAAGTGGGGAGCCCTGGGGAGCGGTGGGAGGGGGGCGGATAGGGGAGTGTAAAACCCTGCCCTGGAAACACTCGTTTTTTCATGTATTCTTAGTCCCCTGACTTGGGGGTGCTGACCCGATGGATGGATGTGGTTTCCCCCCAAAGAGTGGATGCGGGTGGTGGGGCAGGACAGAGCCACAGTCTGCCCAGCAGGCCTTCCAGGAGGGCACTGGAAACCTGGAGTGGGGGGCGGGGGGCGCTCCATAACAGTAACTAGGACTGGACAAATGGGGGAAGTCAAACAGGCCTGCCAGGGGCCTTGGCTCCCATGTTCGCTTGGGAACTCCTTCCTACGCTCCCCGCACAGAAGCCCCTCCTCGGGAAGCCCCGCGCCTCACCCTCTTGGAGTCCGCCTCTCTTTGGGCCAGGCCAGGCTGGGCCCTGGAAACGTTTAGCTGGGCTAAGACTGAGGACACGTGGGTACCAACTCAAGAAAATACGCCCCTGCCACCAGGGGCCAGCGCCCCGTTAACACACCCTAACAGTCCCGAGGCAGCCCCACCTCCCGCAAGGTGGGCGGCGGCGGCCCGCGGACGCGCCCCCCTTGAGGGCTGAAACCCTGGGACTCCCAGAGCCCAGGCAGGGGCGCCCGGTACTCAGCTGCGCCGCTTCAGAGCTCTGGAGGGGAGCTCCCAAGCCTCTGGCTGGCCCACCCCCACGCAGGGATTTCGCTCGCGCCACTGCCAAAGGCGGGCAAGAGGTCTCTGCTTACCAGCCCCGCCCCCTACCTGCGGCCTCTCGAAAGTCCCCAGCTGGGGCAACATACCTGCGGGGACCAAGGTCCGCACCCTCTTTCCCGCCTCGCACGGAAACAGCCCCTTAGGCCGCGGCTACCACCTGGCCTGGGCAGCCGCAGATGACAACGGCGCCGCGCCCACGCTCCTGAACCAGCATCCGCCTCTGTTCCTGCCAGTGCCGGGACGCTCACCCACCCTCTGCACTAACCTGGCCGCCTCGGCCCGGCCCGGATTCCCGAGCCCGCCCGGCTCCGCTGGATTCGCGCCGCTTCCGGGTGTGCGCGGAGCCCCGGGGCGGCTCCCCAGCCCGCGCCGCCCCGTCCGCCCGGCGTCCCGCCCCCCGGGCCTCCCGCGGCTCCATCCAGACCACTGTCCCCCACAGCGAGCCCTCAGCCTCTGGGCAAAGCCCACCTGGTCCGCTGAGCAGGTAAGACACTGAGGTTAGACGACAGGGAAAACTGCCCGCGGCAAGGGGCTGCGGGGACTTGCGCTCATAAGGCCGCAGGGCTTCGGGTGAGGGCTGCCCCGCTTTCTCCAGCGGGAAACGGACGGATCACCATGGGGACGTTTCCTGGGGACCAGAATTTTCCGATGTCTTCGGGGGGATTGAGCTCGATGACGTCTAATCTCTGCTACTCCCTGACACTCGGGACGCAGGGCGGGTGAGTCCCAGGTTCAAGCCTGACCGAGAGGGTACGGGATCTTCCAGGATACACAACCGGCAGAGACCATCAGCCTGGAAAAATGTGGGAAAGTAGAAAACTGGCAAGTGGTGTGAAACGTGTACGAACCCCCTCAAACACTTTAAAGTAAAATTGGCAACTTAAAAGAGGGCGCACACTTTCCAACAAAGCCTGCAGAGGAAAGTCCGCTCTCCCGCGGGGATCTGCGGAATCCCGGCTGACTCTAAACCAGCCAATGGGAGCCCGGGTAGCAGGGGTCAAGCTCGGAACTTGAACCCAGAGACTCTCGGGCCTCAGAACCTCAAGCTTTTCTCGCACCGGTGTTTCATTGGAAGTACTCAGGGCGGCTTCCCTTGAGAGGTGGAGGAAAGGAAGGAACCACGGCTCTCAGAAGGATTCAGCGGTGCCCCACCCGCTCCCCCGCTTCCTGATTGGCTTATGGTCCCTGCCAATGAGAAGTCTGTTCTAATGCTCCGCCGTATTAACCCTATTGTCACTCCAGTGACAGGCCGGGCTAGTTGAGTTTCTCAACTTGGGGCCTGTGGAGTCGACGAGCGCTTGCTGAAATTCATATTCCTGGGGCCTTCCTCTTTCCTCAGAGCTTGATTTAGTAGGTGGGGCCGCGGGTTCTGTACTGCGGATAAGTGTCCGTGTGATTCTAAGGTCCCTTGCGGTCTGAGAAGCCCTCACTTCAGTGGCCCTCCAGGGGGGACTGGGGCCCATCCTTCCCTAGGACTCAAGGTGGACGCAGGGAGGGAAGCAGTTCAGCTGGAAGACTAATCTGGGTGTCTCTGAGTGTGTGTACACCCGGGCAAGGGGAAGTGAGGTGGGCTCTCTGAGTGGAAGGGAGGACCTGGTCGTTCAAGTCAGGGCCTGTGGGCCAGCCATGCTCTGACTTCCCTAAGGAAGACTTTAGTAACTAGGGGGAAAAGCCGATAGTGCTGCCCAAAATCAGGGTATTGGGCTTTACCAACTTCTGGCATAGGTCGTGGTTGCGTTCCTTCTAATACTGCATAAAATGGTGATTTTTATGCAACAAATGATAACAGACTGTTAAAGCAGAATCAGAAATCCCTGCGGCACCCAGAGCCCGACTTCATGGATCTCAGACCTGTGTAGTAGCACAGGGTCCCACACTTGGTTTAATAACTTGGTTAAATGCTCTGCTGCCACTGACTTGAAATTCCTAACAACGTTTTGAACAAAGGGTTCAGCGTTTTCATTTTTCACTGGGCCCCATAAATTATGTAGCAGCTCCTGGGCCACAGGCATTTCCATACATAGGCTCTGGTGTTCCCCTAAACACTCTGGCCTTCCTGAACCCAGGGATGTCCCTTTCTCTCCAAGCCAGAGCTTCTGGTAACAGTGGAGCCCCCACCCCATGCCAGCCAATGGCTGAGCCTGGAGAGCGACTGCCGGAGGAGGTGCTGGCGCTCATCTTCCGCCACCTGCCCCTGAGGGACCGCGCTGCTGCTGCCAGGGTATGCAGAGCCTGGGCTTCTGCTGCCACCTGCAGTGCTGTGTGGCATGACACGATCGTCAGGTAAGCCCCTTCCCCATCTCCTTCCTCCTGCTGCCTTCCAGTGGAGTCGGAGGTTGGGGAGATTCAAGTGAGTCTCCCCACATTAAAAATCATAATCATTACTAACATTTTTGATTGCCTACTATGTATGTACCAACCATTGTTCTAAGTGCCTTGCATATATTAATAGACAGTATTACTGTCTCCACTGCACAGATAGGAAATTGAGGCAGAGAGAGTTCATCGCTCTTCAAATCACCCGGCTAGGGAGTGGCAAAGGCAGAATGTTAACCTGGCCATGCCCGTTTCCTTAGAGACCTCTGAGAAAGCCCAGCTCCTAAAACCCTGGCCCCTCCTTGCCAGGGTTTCAACTTGGAGCAGGCACACCTGAAGTCCTCTGAAGGGATAGGGTGGGAGTTCCCACCTAGCTTAGAGGCTAGCTTGGGGTTACCAGACCTGGTTGGAACTGGGAGGTGTGTGGGCAGGGAGCAGAAAGTGTGGGTGGCTGCTGGAACCCCAGCTGAGGGCTAGGTAGAGGCTTCTCTTCTGCTAAAGAGGACACAGCCGATGCCTTTTCTCCACCTCTCTGACCCCAAGTTGCGACTGTGAGGGAGAAGGCATGCTGCCACCATATCTGTCCTCTTGCCTGGACTACGTTCACAACCTGTGGCTAGAATTTGAGCCGTCGAGGGAGCGGAGCCGCCGGGTGGCCACGGAGCTGCTGACCGCACTGGCGGGCCGTACCCCGGGGCTTCGAGGCCTGCATTTGGAGTGCCGCGGAGAGAAGCCACTCTTCGACGCAGGGCGAGATGTTCTGGACGCTGTGCACGCCATCTGCCGGGCCGCTCCAGCGCTGCGCCATCTTGACCTGCGGCGCTTGCCCTTCACTCTTGATGATGCACTGGTGTTGCAGGTGGCACGCGGCTGCCCCGAGCTCCGCAGCCTTTTCCTGAACAACAGTACTCTGGTGGGCAGCGTGGGGCCGGGCTCCGTGCTCGAGCTACTGGAGGCCTGCCCGCGCCTGTGCACCCTCGGCCTGCACCTAGCCAGCTTGTCACACCCCGCCCTCGAGGTGCTGGCGGCACCACACCGTGCACCTTTGGAGCTCCTGGCTTTGCGGTGCGCCTGCCCAGAGGACGCACGCGCCCCGCCTCTGCCCAATGAAGCATGGGCCGCGTTGCGCCACCGCCACCCTGGACTGATTGTGGAAGTGGAATTAGAGCCAGCACTCTCTGATGAGAGCGTGACTCGTGTCTTGCAGCCTGCAATGCCAGTGGCTGCGCTGTCTCTCTGCCTCTCTGGAGACACCGTAGGTCCCGTGCGCTTTGCAGCGCTACACTACGCGGCAACCTTGTGTGTGCTCGAGGTGCGCGCCGCCACCTCTGCGGAGCTAGACGCTGCTCTGGAGTTGCTCGCGGCCCGCTGCCCTGGCCTTCGGGAAGTGCACTGCTTCTGCGTGGTGCGACCCTCCGTCTTGCACGCCTTCCGTGCGCACTGCCCGCGCCTGCGCAGCTACACGCTCAAACTAAAGCGGGAGCCACATCCCTGGAGGCCCACGCTTGTGGAGTGAAGGGGCAAGCCCTCTCCCGCCCCTGCCTGCCCCCAGCAGGTGTGTGGCCTCTGAGATGCTACGTGCGTTTGGCCCAGCATGCCCCAACTGCTAACCTGGTCCTTCAGGACTCTGGCTTCTTGTGCTTCTTGGAGATAGCGAGAGGGTGGGGGGCGTTGCCCTGAGTCCACTTGATGCTCTCAACTTCTGCAGACTCCGGATGTCTCTTGATACCCTCCTCCAACCTCCCTCCTCTGTGAACGCTGTGCTAGCTCCCGAGGCCCCAGCGTGGGGTGGGATAAGAGGGCACGGGCGCAGGCCGGGGGTGAGTGTGAAATAAATCCTGCAGTATCTCAGCGTCCAGTGAAAGACCAGGTCGGCTCTGAAGGGGGGTGGCAGGGATCCTAGAAGTCCGGAAGAGCCATCCAGACAGGAGTGGGAGAGATCCAGACTGGAAGGTCCCTTGCGCTGATGCAGCTGCGGGAGTCAGGGGCGGGACACTCCACTTCCTAGGAATGACCACGCCCCAGGGTTCGGTGGGAGCGTGGGCGCTTCTCCTCCTCCCTCCCTCCACCGCTCCTCTCTGGCCGTTCTGCCCCAGGCTTCACTGTGTCCGTGGCCACAGCCTCCTAGGACTTTTCCCAGCCCACCCCAGGCTGCGCACAGGCTATTTCTCCCGAAGAACAATGGGAGAAACAGCGGGTCTGAGAAGGGTGAAACTCGAACTGTGGTATCCCGCTACCCCGCACCCCTGTACACATGTCCTATCCAAGCCTGCCCTTTCTGTTTGCTGCGGCTGTGGCCGGGGCTGAGCCCCGCCCCCCACCCCCCGTGGGTTTGCACATGGCCCCCACCTGACCTAGTGCCGAGAGGCGGAGTAGGGTGAGGCGGGCGGCAAACACAGCGCTTTCTGTGGCTTTGACAAGCCCCCCGCGGCCCGGGCCAAGCGGTCAGCCTCTGAGACTGCACTATGCAGGAAGCGCCAGCCACACTGCCCGCAGAGCCGGGCCCCAGCCCCGTGCCCGCCTTCCTCGGCAAGCTATGGGCGCTGGTGGGCGACCCGAGCACCGACCACCTGATCCGCTGGAGCCCGGTGAGGGCTGGGGCCCCTCGACTTCCCCAGTGGTACCCAGCATCCCTCCACGTCACTGAACACCCACTTCCGCCCAACCCCCTCCTGGGACGGGCCGTGGGTCCCTCAGTTCAGCGGTCCGGGGTGGTTCATCTCGGAGGGGGTGTGCGCAATGGAGATGAGGCGACTTCGTTGGGGCCAAGGGAAGAGCAGGAGCCTTCTGGAGAACTAAACCTGAAGGATTTTTTGTGGTGATGTAGTTCCCACGCCACCCCCATCAGGCCGTTCAGAAAACAGAGGCCAGAAAAGAAGGGCTGGGTCTGGTCTTAGCTCCGGGTCACATCGCGGGTCTGGAGCCTGTCCCAGGCTCCAGGCCTGGCCTTTGCATCTCTTTTCTGAGGACAGAGAGCGAGTCTGGGTCGGGCTGGAGGAGGGATTCATTGCGATCCCCCAGGCTAGACCTCAGAATTGCTTCTAGCCTGGCTTCCTCCCGTGTCCCCGTGAGCGACAGGCTGGGTCCCTAGGGCGTGTGAGTGTGCGTGCCAGAGCACGGACCAGGCCGTGGGCTGACGGTGTCGTCCGGTCTCCGCCCGCACGGTGGGTGGGAGGGCTGTGTTCTCGGCAGAGCGGGACCAGTTTCCTCGTAAGTGACCAGAGCCGCTTCGCCAAGGAAGTGCTGCCGCAATACTTCAAGCACAGCAACATGGCGAGCTTTGTTCGGCAACTCAACATGTGTGAGTCCCTAAGGCCGGGGGTGGGTGACTCGGTGCTTGGGGATGGGGAGATTCACGGCTGCACGCCCCACTCCCTAGATGGTTTTCGGAAGGTGGTGAGCATCGAACAGGGCGGCTTACTCAGGCCCGAGCGCGACCACGTCGAGTTCCAGCACCCGAGCTTCTTGCGTGGCCGCGAGCAACTACTGGAGCGCGTGCGGCGCAAGGTGGGGCGGATTGCAGGAACCAGCAAACTCAGGTGCGGGTTTGGGGACGGCTGACCATGTTTTATGTGACTCAGGCCAGACGGTGCCTCCCACGGCAGGTGCCTGCGCTGCGCTGCGACGACGGCCGCTGGCGCCCGGAGGACCTGGGCCGGCTGCTGGGCGAGGTGCAGGCTTTGCGGGGAGCGCAAGAGAGCACGGAGGAGCGGCTGCGCGAGCTCAGGCAGTGCGGGAGTGGCGGGGGCGGGGCGGGGAGGCGGAGGAGGGTAGAGAAGGGGCGAGAGGACACTGTGGTTCTGGGCAGCTCCTTCCTCTCTCGTGCCTTGGCGCCCTGGTCCAGACAAAACGCACCAAGGCGTGGGACTTTGTGGATAGATGATCATGGGGGGGGGGGTCGCAGGTTGGGGCCTGCCATTCAGTGGAGAGTGGCGACTGGGCAACTCGCAGATGCCTCAGCACCCTCCCACACCTTCCCGCAGGCAAAATGAGATACTGTGGAGAGAGGTGGTGACGCTGCGGCAGAGCCACGGGCAGCAGCACCGCGTCATTGGCAAGGTGTTCCTCTCCCCGACCCCACGTCCCTCTCCCACTGCTGAACACCCCCCTCTCCCAGTCCTCTAGCCCATCTGGAACTGCCTGCGAAGGATGCGGGAAGGTCCAAAGGATGACTTAACCCTTCGCTTCCTCTTCAGCTGATCCAGTGTCTCTTTGGGCCGCATCAGACTGGGTCCAGCAGTGCGGGACCTAAGAGAAAGCTGTGAGTGAGAAAGCTAGGACACTCACCTGCCCCTCCCCCACCCAGCACCATCCCTGCCTGAGGCCTGGTACAGGCACCCATTCATCAGGGATCCTCATCACCCCATGGCCATCTCCCCAGAAGCCCCCTTCCAGGACTTTCCCTCTCTCCCCCCAACTTCACCACCAAAATCTCCACTCTTCAATCCCTCAGTCCCAGGGCCTTATCCCCAAATTCCTACCCCAGCAGCCTCTCCCCCCTCACCCCAAAGCATCCCAACATCAGAGGGCCTGGGGCTCAAGCCATACTCCCTTGCCCTCCTCTCCACCCCCAAAGGGCCCCCATCTCCGGGGGGAGCCCTTTCTGCCTTCAGCATGTGACTGATGCCCCGGCAACAGGCCTCAGCTCTGCTGACTCTGCGGCTGGGGCCTGGGAGGGAGGTGGTGCAGCCTGAGGGCCACGGGAGATGAGTCTGCCTGGCCCCCGTCTGTGACCCCGCCCCTCTGCACAGGTCCCTGATGCTGGACGAGGGGCGCTCCTGCCCATCCCCGGCCACACTGGGTGCCTGCCCCCTCTCTGGCGCCCTCTTGCAGGACCCCTACTTTATCCAGTCGGTAAGTTTTGCTTCTCCTCCCTTCCCTAGGGCACGGCTGGGCTTATGGAAAGCCTATTCCTTTTCCCCATTCCCCTCCCCGCAAAAAAAGAGGAGATGGGCCCTGGCTGGTGTGGCTTAGTGGTTGAGCACTGGCCTGTGAATCAAAGGGTCACTGGTTTGATTCCCAGTCAGGGCACATGCCTGGGTTGCAGGCAGGGTCCCTGGTGGGGGGCATGTGAGAGGCAACCACACATTGATGTTTCTCTCTTTATCCCTCCTTTTCCCTCTCTCTAAAAATAAATAATTTATTTTTTTTAAAGAGAGATGGAAGGCAGCCTTACCCCCACTCCCCTCCCCCCACACATCAGACCAGGCTGCCCCACATGGGCTACAAAACTTCCCCCCTAGACTTGGTCCATGTGGGCACTGGTTGGGTTCTGGCTCACTCTGCGGCTGAGGTGAAGGGTTGGGCTTAATCTTCTACTTCTAGCCCCTCCCAGAGACCACCTTGGGCGTCAGCAGTCCTCCCAGGGCCAGGGGCCCCATCATCTCTGACATCCCGGAAGACTCGCCATCCCCTGAAGGGCCCAGGCTTTCTCCCTGCACTGGTGACAGGAGGTAAGAGGGGCAGGCAGGCGCTGTCCTCTGGGGAGTCTGTCAGGGATAGCCTGGCGTCCCAGAGGGCTGTGGGGGTACGGGACAGGTCAGTGTCGGGGTCTGGTTGAAGCTTTTCTCTGGCACAGGGAGAAGGGCCTGGCATTGCTCAAGGAAGAGCCAGCCAGCTCCGGGGGGGAAGGCCAGGCCAGGCTGGCCCTGGCCCCAAACGAGTGTGACTTCTGCATGACAGCCCCCCCACTGCTGCCTGTGGCTGTGGTGCAGGCCATCCTGGAAGGGAAAGGGAGCTTCAGCCCCGAGGGGCCCAGGAATGCCCAACAGCCTGAACCAAGGGGTCCCAGGGAGGTACCTGACAGGTGAGCAGAGAGCCCATTCTTGGCTGTGGTCCACTTTGGCAGTTAGACCAGCACCAACTAGACCCCAAAACTTGCCTGCCCCATGGTGGGGAGGGGGATGTTGGATACTATGATATGACCTGATTTCTCAGCGTTGCTCTAAGGAGGGCCAGCATCAGAGGCCCTGGAGAGTGGAAACGTCTCTGTGGCCGGGCTCAGAAATCTGCATTTTAAACAAGTCCAGTGGGGTGGTTGTAAAGATGGTAAACTACACAACAGTTTAAGAGCCACTGGCATTGACAACTGCAGAGGGAGGGGGCCCAGCTCTACAACTCCAACCTCAGGCCAGAGGCAGGAGGCAGAGGCACTCTCATTAGCCCCTCTGTGTGTGTGTGTGTTGGCGGGGGTCCTGTCCTAGCATTTTCTAGATATTGTCAGATTCATTCGGGTCCTGATGCATCCGGGCTCCTTGGGAACCTGACTGGGGCGGGGAGAGTTGCTGCAGGCCAACAGCAGCCCTCTGTGCACAGGGGGCCTCTGGGCCCGGAGAAGGAGGGGCAGTGCCCAGGGAGTCTCCAGCCTCCGATGCTACTTCGGGCCCCACCTGAAAGTGTGGAGCCTGCAGGACCCCTGGATGTGAGTAAACCTTCCGCAGGGCATGGGGCTTGATGGGGTCCGGCTGTCTGTGCAGCCTGGGAAAGGCACCATTGACCCGGAGTTCCCCCAGGTGCTGGGCCCCAGCCTCCAAGGGCAGGAATGGACCCTGATGGACTTGGACATGGAGCTGTCCCTGGTAAAATGGGGGTGGGGAAGGCAGGGGGTTAGGGGGTGCTGGGACAAGCCCTTTGATCCATGGTTGTTCTCTTTCAGTCAAAGCCCCAGCAGCTCCCTTCCCCAGCTTCTCCATGGGGTTCTCCCATGCAGATGCAGCCCTTGGTTCCACAGAAGAGTGACACTGAGCTGGCAGTCAAGGGGTTAAATTCTCCAGGCCCAGGTAAATGGTCAGGTCACAGTGACTCAGGACCTGGGGGAAGGCCCTGTTTGGCCAGAGCTACCCTGATTAGGGGGCCTGGGCAGCTTGTGTGTTGGGGGACATCTCTTGAATTCAGGCTGCCCTGCAATGAGCTGCTGAAGCCACCCTTCCCTTCACAACTGGGTCAGAGTGGGAAGGTTGAGAATGGATGTTTCATCCTAGCTGATTAGAAGGCAAGGAGGGTGGGCTCTTTTTCCCTGAAGAAAGTGGGATGTTTCTCCCTGCTGAGCACAGCTCCACTCCTCCTAGGGAAGGCCTCGACTCTTGGGGCACCACTCCTGCTGGACGTCCAAGCTGCTTTGGGAGGCTCAGCTCTCAGCCTGCCTGGAGCTTTAACCATTTACAGCACTCCTGAGAGCCGGGCCTCCTCGCTGGGCCCGGGGGCTGACTCCGCCCCCTGACCCCTCTCCGTTCCGAAGCCGGCCTGGCTGAAGGCTGGCCTGCAGCCCTCGCCCTTCTCTGTCTCCTAGCGCCCCCTGGCGGGGGCTGAGCGAAGACCCTGCTACCCCTTTCCACTACCAAGTTATGCACATAAACCGCATTTTTTCCTGTGTCTGGTCTCTTTTCTCTACCGGCCGAAGAGCACAGAAGTCACGGGGGAGAAGGGGCGATTTTGCATTCGTAGAAGCGTTCAGGTCCTAGGGCTTTAATGGGGAACCCCCTGGAGAGTGGAATGCTTGAGGAGCCTGATCCTAGTTCTCCTGCTTAGGCCCGGATCCTCCCGCGGGATCCAGGGCTGGTGCCTGGCCACGGCACCCTCCCGGAAGTGGGGGCTTTGGGGGTCACCCAGCTCCGCAATGAATCTTCTCTGTGGTCCTGGGTAAGCTGGTCCCCTTCTCTGAGCCTTATCAATGGCAGATAAAGAGGGGTCGACGAGAAGATAGGAGTAAAGCGCCTGGAAATTGCCAGGCCCAGAGTGGGCATCGGTACGCGAGCCCGCGGACCACACTGCCTCCTCGCTGACTTACAGTCCTCGCTGGAGTTGGGAGGGATAGCGGACTACGTGGACGAGCCCAGGCAATGCGCGGCCTCGGCTGTCGGCCTTCCCGGGTGAGGAACAGAACTCCCTCTCTCCCCTACCTCCTCCCGGTTCCCGGCAGCCCTGGCTGCCCCGCCCCCTCCCCCGCGGCAGCTGCCGCTCCCATCCACCCCGCCCAGCCCTTTCTGCCTTGTCATCTCCTACCCCGCCACGGCTCGACCGGTGAGTGGGGCCCTCCGAGCGCACCAGACCCGGAGCCCCACCCCGCCTGGCTGGGGGAGGGGGAAAAACTGAGATTGGGCGGAATCTGCGCCCCCACCAGCAGCGCTCCAAGTCCTGCGAGCCCCACCCCTCCGCAGGACTCTAACTCTGGGACGGGCTGAAGGGGCGATCAGGGGAGGCTGCGGTCGCACCTGGGCAAAGGTTCCCGCAGTTTCTCATACCTCTCGCTCCCTAGCAAAAGACTTCGCAGAAGCCAGGTAGGGAGGGGGGCCGAGACCCCCCTCCACGCCTCGAACTGGGAGCTGCCTGGTGCCCCGGGAAGGATCTGGCCCGTGACCCTTGAAGGACTGGCTGGGACATAACTTGGGTACAGTATTGACCTCTGAGTATTGGGTCTTGGAGGGCCCAGACTCGCTGGCGTTTCCGTGCTCACGAGGCCAGCATAAAAATAGCCCGGTTAGGGGTGAGGGAGAACCAGGGGGCCGACCCGTTCTGCCCCCTCACTCTCTGCACCTGTACACAAGTCGGTTCTGTCCCCTCTCCTTGCACCTGTGATTGGAGGACAGCCTTCGGGAGCCTCAGCTGAAGAGGGCACAGGGTCCGCGTGTACACGGTCAGCAGCGCCAGTCCGTGCAGTGCTGGGGCGTGTACCACTCACCGGGGCACGCAGGAGATGAGACAGAGCCAGTCTGCCTAGGGCACCCTCAGGCACTGGCGTGGACAGGGGACATTTATTTGAGTCTTGGAGAATGGGTCCACATCTTGAGAGAAGGGGAAGGGTATTTTCAGGCTTAAGGAACAGCATCTGCTGAGGTTCGGAAATGCCAGGGGCTTGTGAGTTCTCCTGGCACCGAGGGTTGGGGAAAGTACGGGAAGCCCTGGATGCCCAGGAGGTGTGGGAGAGCAGCCAGGCAAGGCAGGATGAATTCTCTCCGATGCGCAGGGAGGAGAGGCGGACGGGCACTTGGGTCTGACATTCTGCTTGGCAGGGGGCCTCTTCATAGCTCGGGTTGGAGCAAGTCAGGTCCTGGGTCCAGCACTTGGTCTTGCCAAGACTGTCTTCTCATGTGCAAGATGGGGACAATCAGTCCTGCCCCAGAGTTGTCAAAAAACGACCGTGCCGTGGGGGTGATGAGAAGGGAGGGAGAGGTATTCAGAGGGACTGCCAGAGGAGATGAGGTGAGGATGGTGTGGTTGGGGGGCTGCTGACGGAGCCTCGAAAGCTGGAGGAGCAGCATGTGCCACAGGTGGGACATGAACGGAGGAGGAGGAGGGGCAAGGGGCGATCCTGGTCTCGATCAGCAACCTGCCTGGGGGGAGAGTCGATGCTTCACTGTGGCCAGGAGGGTGAAATGACCAGGGAGGCATAGCATGATACCAGGCGGCAATAAAGGACCTGGAAGGCAGGAGGGTGTTAGGACCAAAGCTGCTGTCCCAAACCCAGAGCCGGGTAAGGAGGTAGAGGAGAGATCCCAAAGGCAGGACAGGACCAGAAGGGTGCCATGTGGACAAAGCTAAGGCCTGAGGAAAGGGACTCAGAGAGGGTGTGGTCCAGGGCCTGGCCTCTTTGCTGCTTGATGCAGGGGCCTGGCTGCCTGGGTCAGGACATCCAAGAGGGGATGAGCCATTGTCCTTAGAGGTCAATAAATGGGCAGAGCAGGTTAATTCCTGTCTAACACCTGCTGATTGGTTCAGGCAGTCTCTCAAAATGGAAGTCACCATGGAGGAAACAGTAGCAATTCAGCGAGCATTTGAAAATACGTTGTTGGGAGCTGTTTTGAGTCAGGCCCTGGGTACTGCAAGTGGAAGCAAGAGACGGCTGTGAGTCATTCTCAGGGCAGCAGGGAGATGGTTGGTTCTCAGGTCATGCCGGGAGCACTTGGTCAGGGCTAGGACTAAGGAGAATTCAGGTAACCCTGGTCAGGCATTAGGGGACCAGGACGGCCTCAAGACCACTCAGGGGTTGCAACATGGAGGTGGCACTGGTGAGGGATGCAGCAGTGGGTCCTGTCCTGGAAAGATGTATCTCGGGTCAGGATAAGGGGTGTGGTCACTCCCCGTGGGTGTGAGCAGCAGGGAAGCGTCTCCGAGCTTCGTGCTCTGGCTTTGGAGGGGATTCAGGGCTCTGCAGGGTCTAAGCGGGAGGCGAAAGCCTGGACCCCGAAAGTAGTGAGGGTGACAGAGAAGTATTCAGCAGACAGACTGGAAAGGACCGGACTGCAAGCCGGGCGTGGGGTCTTTGCCTGTTAAGGCAGGAAGCAGGTTTGGGAAAGAAAAGTTAGTTTGGATAAACTGGGTCTGAACAATCGCAGAATCTGCAGGCAGCTAGGATTCAGGATGGGGCCTAGCTGGGGAAAGGGGTCAGGGAGTAGATAAGGGCCCTGAGAGAGCAGAGGAGAGGAGAGGGGAGGAGAGGGGAGAAGGGCCGCAGCTGGTGTTTAGGGCACCAAGCAGAAGCCTGAGGAGGAGGAGACAGGACAGAACCGATGGGAGAGGCGGGAGTAGAGTCCGGTGCTGCGGAGCTGTCCTGCCCCCGGGGTTGAGGTGAACTTAGACCCCAGCCACGGGTGTTCACTGGAGCCCTGGGAGAGAGGCCCCAGCCCCCAGTACCTGTGTCCCCCTCCCCCAGGCACCCCCCACAATGGGAAACGCGCAGGAGAGACCGTCGGAAACTATCGACCGGGAGCGGAAACGCCTGGTAGAGACGCTGCAGGCAGACTCTGGGCTGCTGCTGGATGCGCTACTGGCACGGGGCGTGCTCACCGGGCCCGAGTACGAGGCGTTGGATGCGCTGCCGGATGCCGAGCGCAGGGTGCGCCGCTTGCTGCTGGTGGTGCAGAGCAAGGGCGAGGCCGCCTGCCAGGAGCTGCTGCTCTGCGCCCAGCGCACTGCGCGCGCACCCGACCCTGCCTGGGACTGGCAGCACGTGGGCACTGGTGAGCGCGGACCGGACGGAGCCTAGGTCAGAGTAGGGGGCGTGATGGGGGCGGAGTTCTAGCCTCCCCTGGAGGTTGGAGTGTGCAGAGGAAACGGCAAAAGGGTTATTTGAGCTTGAGACACTCCCACCCCCTCCCCAGGATACCGGGAACGCAGCTACGATCCTCCGTGCCCAGGTCACTGGACACCTGAGGCAGCAGGCTCAGGGACCCTATGCCCTGGGCTGCCCAGAGCTTCACACTGCGATGAGGCCGGGGGTCCAGAGAGCTCTGAGGCAGTGCAATCCGGAACCCCCGAGGAGCCCCAGACAGACCTAGAAGCTGAGGCTTCTGAAGGGGCAGAGCCGGAGTTGGAACTGCAAGTGGATCCGGAACCAGAGGCGGAACCAGAGACTGAACCAGAGCCCGAGCCCGAACCGGAGGTGGACCCGGATCCAGAGCCGGAGCCCGAGCCGGACTACGAGGGAGGAGATGAGTCTGAAGGTGGCCGGCTGCCCAAACCTGGTGACAGGTTGGTGGGAGGTTGTGGCCCAGAAGGCAGAGGGCAAGCCCCAGCTGACCACCCACTTTCCCCCTCCATCTCTAGATTCCTGAAGGCCAGAGCGCTGACAGGCCACGTGCCATGAAGGCTGAACAGGACCTGGGACCCTGCCAGGGCGGAGCTGGATCACCACCAAGGCTCCACCTGGCCGGTATTCACTGGAAGTGAATGAACTTTGGAGGGTCGGCCTGGGTTCTCTGTGACTCTGGCTCTTGGCCCAGAAATAAAGGTGACCTGGGCAGCCCTGTGCCCCATCACCCAGCCCCGTTTTGTCAACAGCTCCAGCTGCAGCCCTGGAGATCCAAGACCCAGGCACCCAGTGCCATAGGGTCTGACTCAGGCCCTTTTATCTTCCTAAACCATTTGAGGGCATGTGTTGTCACCAGCGCTATTCCCCGGGAGCCCCTGGGCTGGCGCAGAAAGCCAGGGAAGGGGAATCTCTTTCCGCTTAGGGGAGGCCAGAGCTGACAGCCTTGGGGAATGAAGCCAGGAGAGAGGAAGAAGAAAGGATCTCGGATAGATAAAGACCACACACCTTATTGTAATGGTTTTAATCGTCTGGCTTCTCGTGGGACCAGGAGCCCAGTGAGGGCTTGCCCAGTAACGGGCACACAGACGGCGATCTGTGCGTATTCACTAACTAGATGAATAAGGACTTTCCGGCTGCATTTCCGAATTTTATAGATGGGAAAACTAAGGCCAAGGGTGGGAGTGGGACTGGGTCAACCTCGCACAGCTGAGTCGGAGGTGGAGCTGGAAGCGACAACCATCTCTGTACCTCTCCCAGTCCAGAAGAGCTCAGGACTTGGGACAACCAGGGCCCCGCCCCTCAGGCTGGATCGTGGCTGCTGCCAGGCTGTGGCAGCCTCTGTCAGACCTGCTGTGAGGGTGTGGGCAAACACGGGGACAGCAGAGGTCCCCGGAGGGGGTCGGGGGAGGCAGGGTCAGAGGAGCTCCACTCAGGGCTCAACTCACAAGGCCAAGGAGTGTGTGTGAGAGTGTGTGTGAGTGTGTGTGTGTGTGTGTGAGAGAGAGAGAGAGAGAGAGAGAGGGAGATGCAGCCGGAGCTAGGAGCATGGGCGCCTTCCAAAGGACCCCTGTTCCCTCCCCTGAAACTTCGGACACTACTGCCTCCCGGCCTCAGGAAGTACAGCATTTAAACAGGGAATAAATACTTGAGCAGCGGGACAGGCAAAATCCTGGAAAGCACATCCCAGCCCAGCTGGGTTTCTAACTAACTGTCAGGACCCTCGCCCCTTGAGCATGGGTGAAAGCAAGGACCCCAGGCTCAGGTGATGGCCTGAGGAGAAGGGAGACGCCCACCAGGACCCAGTGAGAGGTAGACAGCATAGAAGCTGAAGGAGCACCGAGGGGCCAGGTGGGGGGAGGGAGGCTGGAGTGTGCAGACGCCCAGAGCCATCTCATGCAAGAACAAGTTTCTGCTCCCGAGCCACCCCACCCGCCAATCCCATCTGCCAATCCCATCCGTGCTCAACTTCTCTGCTGCCCCCAGGCTTCCCCTCCGCTCCACAGACAGAGGCTCCTAGGAGGGCAGACGGAGTTCGTCCAACGTGCTGGTCTCCAGGTCCCAGGGAGGCCAGCAAGGGACATAAACCCACTGGTGTTGCCGCTCCTCCCTCCTGAGATGCTCTGCCCTCCCAGCTTCCCCAAGAAACACCCAGGCCGTGGAAGCACAGAGCAGCCATCTTTGTGTTCGGGGGGATGACTCGGAACCCTCACCCGAGGTCAGTCAGGCAGCAGGCGGCCCAGCTCTGCCTCGTCCAGCCGGTTGGTGGCCATAATGTGCTCCAGCTGCTGCCGGTAGCGCGCCAGGTCCTGCATGAAGTGCGGCACCCGCGTATTGTCCAGTACCCCATGGGGACGCAGGTGGTCTACATCTTCATAGGACACCTGCAGGGGGGAAGCTGGGCCTGAGGGGCAGGCAGGGGCCCTGGCTTTCACACGGCTGACCCCAGCTCTCTACCGGTCACCACTCAGCGCCCTGTGCTCCTGGCACTTCCCCCTCCCCCTCCTGACCCACTCCCACTGTTGTGAGCCCTGAGGCTCAGTCCTGGCTGTTTGCTCTTTCTCTCAACGCCTTCTTTTATCAGTTGTGCCCTACCTGTCTCCAGCCCGGCTCCCCCACATCCAAACCTGGGTATCCAATCGCCTTCTGAACACCTGCTCCCGGATAGCTCGCAGGCACCTCGGACTCCCCGTGTCCGGCACCGAGCTCCTGGGTGTCAGACTGTGCCAGCCACTCTCCCAACTGTTCTCCAGGCCAGATTCCAGGGAGAGCACCGGAATCTGTCACCCTCCTGCCCAAGGCGGCCACTGAACTCGAGGGATTCCACTCTCCGACGAGCGCTCCAGCCTACCCCTCCTTCTCAAACCCCATGGCCACTGCTCAGATAGGCCGCACTACCACCAGCTCTGCGGGAGTGGTTAGACAGACCTCCTCCTGCCCTGGCCGGTGCGGCTCAGTGGACTGAGCACCGGCCAGCAAACAAAAGGTGGCGGGCTCAAGTCTCATCCAGGGCACATGCCTGGGTTGTGGGCCAGGGCCGCAGTTGGCGGTGTGGGAGAGGCAGTGGATCGATGTGTCTCTCCTTCTCTTTCTCCCTCCCTTTCCCTCTCTCTAAACATAAATAAATAAATATTTGTTTAAAAGGCCTCCTCCTCTTCTCCCTGCACTCCCTTCCCTAGGCCTCTCTCCCCCGATCCAGAGGGCGCCTCCTAAAGGAAACCTCTGTGCCACTCCTCTGCTTCAGGCTCCTCTGATTCCCCATTGCTTCGGACGTTTACCTCTCCCAGCCTGGCACAGGTACCCGGTGCCAAGGACTTGGCCCCTGGCCATCTTCCAGCCTCCGTCTCTAAGCCGCCCTGACCGCTCCTTTGGTCTGGAACGATCAGCTCCTTTGAGATGCAGTACCTTGCACACGCGCATGCGCAGGCTGGGTCCAGCACCTGCCCGCCTTCCACTTCACCTGTGCTCACCTCCCCCCGCCAGAGGCGCCTGGCACCCTGCAGCCTCAGGGAATACTGCAAGGAAGAGAAGAGCTGGCTGGGACCTCTGAAGGCCGTGGCCACTCACCTTGCCCAGCGAGGTAAGCAGCGGGAAATCAATGGTCTGGCGGTGCCGCAGAATGCGCACGATGCCATCCAGATACACCTGGTCCTTGCTGAAGCAGCCTGTGGGCACAGGAGGGCCGTGAGCCCCTACACCCGAAGCCACCCTTGCCCCTGCCCCAGTTCAGGGTACTTCTCACGCAGGTACCCACCCGGCAGCGAGGTGTCAGTCTGACCCCGCTTGGCGCGCACGCAGTACTCCCAGCGCACGTCGGCGTCCTGCACGTAGCGCGCCAGGTCCTGGAAGAGCTGGCGGAAAGACATTTGCGCCGCTCGGTAGATGGTGTAGTAGAGCAGTGCTGCGCGCCACAGGAAGGGCTGCTTGCGGAACAGCACGCTGTGCAGGCTGGCCAGGCCCTCCTCGGTGGGATTCGCCGGCCGCAGCCCATACTGCAGCCGGCCCTCGGCGCTGTGCCAGGGCTGCCGCGCATTGTTCACGCCTCGCAGGTAGTGGGTGCCTGTGGGAGGACCAGGGAGGCAGTGATGGGTGGGTCATCCGGGGGCCAGACCTGTAACCCATACTCACGCATGTATCCTCGTGCCCCTAAACTCCGGCTCTCACATAAGCTTTCCCCGCCACCCCTACCCCAACCTCAAGTGAGCCTGCACTCAAGGACCCAAAGAGCCTCACACACAAGAATCCCCCCCCTCACCCATCCAGGGCTAAACACACACACACACACACACACACACACCCCTCCCAGACTCACACTGCTCCCCAGCCCCCTGGAGAAGAGCAGAAACTCACACCACCCCACCTCCATACCTTGCAGGCCCACATCATTTTGACAGTCACGCCTATGACCCTAGCAACAAACCACCTTTGCCCAGAGCAACAGGATCCTTGATGAGGAGGGCCAGACAGAAAAGAATAGTAACAACGTGCTCTCCTTTCCGGCCTGACCTATCCCCTCCTATCCCCAGCTCCGGGTGTCCTCAGCCAATTCCATTCCTGCCCTGGAGGACCTGCATGTTGGCTGGGCTAGTGGGACCCTCAGGGTTCTCCCTCCGGCCTGTCCAGGCCTCAGCACCCTGTCCCAACCGTCAAGGGAAATCAGAGAGGAAGTGGAGGGAGGAAAAGACCCCGAAGAGGAGTGAGAGATGAGGGTGAGCCCAGAGAGCGGGCGGGCATGTTGGGGCTACCTCTGTGAGCCAGAGGGAGCGGGGGACTGGTCATGAAGGGAAAGGGCCGGTCCTCGGAGGGAAGTGGGAGAGAGGGGTGGGGTTACTGGGGCCCCTCACTGTCCCCTCACATCCCAGCCCCCTCGCACCCCTACCCACCCGCCCACCTCCCTACACCCTGACCTATCTCGTGCCGCAGCATGCCCTCCAGCCAATACTGACGGGCTCCGGTCAGGTTGATGGCCAGCGTCGGTCGGCTGTTCTCCACCATCATCACTGCCTGGGACAGCAGGTCTTCACTCAGCTGCACCACCACCTGCGGCAGGAGCAGTGCCCTGAGCCGTGGCCACCAGCCCTGGGGCCTGTGTGCAGGTGTACCCTCTAATGATGCCGCAGGGCACCCAGGCCGAACCCTTGGCCAGGATTCCCACCCTTCACCATCTCGGCTCAGAGCCAGCTCCCACCTTACTAGGGCAGGGACAGGGCTGGCCAGGGGTCACTAGCTGGCCAGGTGTGGGGCTGGGCCTGGCACCACCCACTGGGCAGCCCAGTCTGGGTCATGGAGAACAGAGTCCTCGCAGGCAGGGCCAGCTCACCTCCCCAACGCAGCCCTCCTTCTGCATGTATTTGCGCACGACGGACCAGATCTGGCACTTGGTCAGCAGCTGGCCCCCAGTCACAGCCTCAAAGTGTTCATAGGTACCGAACTTCTCCAGGACAGCCTCAATGATGCCGACTGCCTGCACACAGGGCCGCGGCGGTTGGTCAGGCCGGGCTTCTCGGGTGGCCGGGGCCAGGGAGAGATGGGTGGGCTGGACTGACCTGATGGATGAACTGGCCTGAGGCCTCACAGTACTTCTCCAGCACAGCCGTGGGCATGGGCTCCTGGTATTCGAACTGCGGGTTGTAGGTGTAATGGGACTGGAAGAACTTGTCCCGCTCACGGTCCATGTTGGTTGGCCGCAGGGCCACCAACATGCAGGGGCTCCTGCCGGCACCGTTGCCT